CGACATCGCTGTGAATCCCTCAATACTGTTTAAGCATGTTATTGCTACTTAGCTAAGCTGTTGTTTGCCGTTATGTTTCAGCAGTATATTTTTAATACTGGTTGATCCTACCTTGTATGAAAATATATACAGATTTTTAATGAGACAATTGATATGTCTCTGTCAAACATGTATGAGCGACATACTATGAACTGGCATGATGTGACAAATGTCGCTATGTTTCATAGTTCCACATTTGTAGGCCTTGAATACATCCATATGTATCCTTATTATAAGTATGTGACAATATCGGCCTATTCAGGGTTGGTAGCAAAAAGTTTTTTTGCCGGTAAATAAAGTTCTTGGCAATTTTTTAACCGTTTTCGCATTCTGCGCACTCTTGTAACCGGTCAATTTTCTTACCGCCTCATAAGCAGGTAATAAAAGACTTCACCGCGAAACACCAGAAAAACAATAGGGCTGTTCAGGATGTTGTGGAAATGGTCTTGGATGTGCAGTTGGAATTGCATTTGCAAATTTTATGCTTGTTGCCATGGCAACCGTGTGCATTTTATTGTTGTAAATTTACAACTGCAACGAATATGCAAATCCAAGAGCATGTGCACAAGATCCTGAACAACCCTAATATGTTCCGGAAAATGTAAGGTGTATCTCATAAACTGAGCAACTACATATTAGCTATCTTAAACGAAATTTCCAGAGTATACTTAAACACAAATTATCTACATATTTACATATTAATTTACATATTTAAATTATTCTCCATTTTTAGCCAGGAAACCTGAAAATTATGTAGAATCATGGTTTTAAAGTTCTTTTTTTTTAAGTCTCAATACGACCTTTTTCACCTAAATACAGCCTACCAAATATCTATGGAAAATTTGGAATTTTTTGCTGCCTTACCCCACGTCTCCACCTTCTACAGATTATATTAAAAAAGCCGAAATGCCAGGGGAAGGCAGCAAAATTTCCACTGTTAAAACATAACTGTCTTTCCGAATTTCTTACCATCACTGTCTTCACATCAAATGTCATTTCGTAGTTCGATAGCTCAATTTTCATTTTACAGGGCTATTTTCATTGGGTAGATATGGATCTGATTGGAGTTGAGTTAATTGTTTTGTGTAGTGTATTATCTGATTACATAGATAGGTAAAGCCAATCTAACTTATTTGTTCTTTACTATCGAACATTTTTATGGACCCTCACTCGCTTTCGCGCCAACTTAGACTCTGGACCACTTTGGGAATCACTAGTTTAGATGATAATTTAGATTTTACTTAAACTAACTTTTTTCCACACAACTAAAACACTGTACGTCACGCATTTAATAAGAGGATAAGAGTAATTATAGCCTTGGCCACTACCAAACCAAAAAGTCAGAGCCACAACTAGCCAGTGGAAACCAACGCCAGCCAATAAAATTCGCCACAGGAGAGAACTCCTAAAGACCTTTTCGTAGCGCAGTGTGGGCGAGATAGCTGCGACGAGTTTATTTATGATGCCAGATTGCCAAAGGAAAGGATTTTACTGCAATCTCAAAGCGCGCCACAGCAGAGCGGGTGAAATAGTTACACATACGCCCAGCCCAACCAGTTGAGTTAGACCAAATTCAGTGCATACATACAATTATGTACATATGTATGTGTGTACGTGTAAAAATGCATGTGCCTTATTCGACCATCATATTTTATTATGGATTTATGATTGTTGCACAACGCAGCGACCAACTCCTACAAAAAGTTAGAACTTGTTTTTATCAGCTGGAGCCATTTCCTTTGCTATCCGAAAGCAGTGAAAGTATTGCTTTCAAAGCATTTATAAGTGTGGTACTAAGCATATATGCATATATTTCAACTAATTTTGTTAATTCCAGTACAGCAGACTTTGTTCGACAATTATTTTACTGAAATTTTCATCACGTGCATTCCTTAGCTTTAAAGCAGCCAATTAATATAACTCCATATCAGCATAAGGTCGCTTATTTCAATAAACTTTTTGGTTGATTTATACTTTTTTGTCAGTCGCCCGTATCCAATTTGCCTTTGCTACAGTAATTAAAACAAACCGGTCATCAAAAGAAGATATCAATGGACACACGTTCTGTTCTGTAGATACCCAAAGCAAATAAAATAAATTTAAAAAAAGTTAGAGCAGACATTTGCTTACATATAACTTATTTGCTTTTGTTTCGTTTTGTTTCTTTTTCCATTTTTTGATTATTGGTCCAGACGCCTTTCTGTCACATTTTCGTTACTAGCAAAGCAGTCAGTCAACTGTGTCCTTCCTGTTTCGTCAACGTTTGCTGTATGTCGCCAGCAACACTCACTGCTGTAAAGTAAACAATTTTATGTCAGTATTGATTTAACTTGAAGCGCTTTTTCATATCAATTTCGTCTCGCAAGTGAAACATTGTTTGGCCAGCTATGAAATTGCATGACATGAAGATACCAGAAATACGATATGACACCACATAGAGTAGGAAAGAAGTACGTAATTATTTGACGCAAAAAGCATATTTGTTTAACGACAAAATTGAACGCCAGGGAACGTATGAGATATGCAATTACTTGGCCTAAACAACAAACAAATACGTCGTAAGGACTTCATAGTTATCGACTTCAAATTAACCTTTGTTAGTGATAAGTTTAGTAAAATTTTATCACAAAAACGAAAAGATGAAAAACGGTTAAATATTGTACACATAAGAACTTAGTTTTATATTTCCATATTCCATATATTCCATAAACACAGTGGGTTAGTTGAAAAATCAAATAAGAATAGACTAATACTGGGATTACATATAGAAAATATTTGACATTGCTTAATATAGCAGAAAAAAAATATCACGGTCGACCTAGAAGAAACTTAACATTTCCTTCTATGATAGTATGATATTCTATGATAGTATTCAGTCTAAGAGAGCTGCTACACTCTCTTGTAAACCCTCATTCCACTTTAGTTTACTAAAATACATTAGCTTTAACTGAGCTGAGCTGCATTCAGTATAGCTGCCGTTTTTCCGTTTAACAAGCTTATTTTGGAAGTAGTTCTATCCAACATGAATGAAAAATTTTTCGTTTAAGAGTACCATGGTATCAAAAAAAAAAAAGATTTACTCCTCACAAAATTCATTCGCCTTAAAAAAAAATTTGCTTTTTCAAAATGGTCTAATGAGTGTTAAGTTTCCATAAAAAAAAACACATTTTAAATAACCGAGTGTTTTGATAGACGAACACATATTTATCAAACTTATGTGAATACACCTACACTAGATATGTGCATTACCAAATTTTAAGTTCATGTGACTTATGGTCGAAGTTATAAGTGATTAAAAATTTCATTCCCATGGGAGGTGCCACGCCCCATTGTTGAATTCCTTTATTTAACGCTGTTTCAGGCTCAGATGTTATGGCAATGCTCTGTCAAAATTACATTCGATTCTGTTCATTCGTTTAGGCTGCAACCTGACACATACATACTTTTACAAATATATGTAGATATGGACATCTATCTTTCTCCTTCTTCTTTCTTTTGAAAATATCATGTAAGATTTAGTCCAAATATTTATTTTCAATTGGCTAACGTATGTTCTAAATATGACCCAAATCGGAAAGTGAATGTAGTTTTTAGGAAAAACCCGACACCAGCACCACCCAGCAAGTAAAGTTTTGCTCGGAATATTTCGTTTCCAGCTGTTGACACATGTTCCAAATATCAACCAAATCGGGCTAGCCGTTTAGTAGTTTAGTGACACTTAATGTACAGAAAACTCTATGAAATTGTGAAATCGTGACGTCTCAGCATTCTTCATTTTTTGGCAAACAACAACATAAAATTTAAAATTTTTTTAATTCGAAAAACCTTCCACACAGAGGGTCCAAAAAAGTACTTTTTACAGAATTGGAATCGGTTCAGCCGTTTGGTCAGGCATCGCGGTCATACGAAAAACATTTCATTTTTATATACAGTGACGAACAAAAGTATTGGCACAGTGAATTTTCCGCAATATATGCAATGTTTTTGTTCTAATTTATGTTCATTTTACTCCAAAAAAACATAAAAATAAAATCTGTAAACTTTGTGCAAAACTCAGGAAAATACAATAAATTTGCACACTTATTTGCAACTTTCTATTCAGATCTTTTAGAAAAACTCTACGTATGCAAGTTTATAGTCCATTCAATTTTAGTATGACAAAATGCAAGTTTAAAGTTTCTAGAAAATCGCGTTTATTTTAAGCAATTTTTTTAGTGGAAGGTGTTGCTCATACAAAAATTAATTGTCGAATATACTTTGTATGGAAGAACTTGCGTGAAAAAAAATTGCCAAAAATCAACGCGATTTTCTAGCGACTTCAAACTTGCACTTTGTTATACCAAATTTGAATGGGCTATAAAACTGCATGCCTACAATTTTTCTAAAAAATTTGAATAAAAAGTGGCAAATTACTGTGCAAATTTAGTGAATTTTCCTGAGTTTTTCACAAACTTTGGAGATTTTATTATTATCGAAAATAAATTAGAAAAAAAAATGTTGCATATATTGCGAAAAATTCACTGTGCCAATACTTCTGTTCGGCACTGTATATAGAAATACAGATACATAGAATAGATATGAGCTGAAGAATGTTACTCATACGCCATGTAGCAAGTGAGTATAAAAAATAATGGTCATCGCGCATTTTTATTTCACCATTTACAACTTTATTTATGCATTATTTTTCTTTGTCAGAACTTTGCTTTCAATAAAAAAATTACGAAGTATCTGTTATTTTTATATCTTTCCCCAAACACAAAAGAGATTTCAAGAGAAATCCACGAACCAAAAA